TAAAAATATTATTATCATTATTAATATTATTATTATTATTATTATTGGTTGTAGTAGTAAAAAATCACTTTACTACCTTTACTACTATTTCTACTGATACTACTACCTCTACTGTTGTTTCTGTTATTGTTAATATTGTTTTGATTGTTATTGTTTTTGTTGCTTTCATTATTGTTGTTGTTGATGTTGTATTGTTACTATCATTAATATTGTTGTCGTTATTACTATTAATGGATAATAATGAATATTTCAGTTATTAGCTCGGCAGCAGGAGCATAAACATTATTTATTTGTGGCTATAAAACTAAACTACCTTGGTAATAAAAGCAAGGAATATAAAGCAGCTTAAGATAACTGATTTTCCTTATTTGTTATAGYCCAATGAAAAATTAGATCATCTTTATATTCTCTGGTGGATTCCAATACGATTTCAAGATATGCAACCCACGCAAGCACTTCTCCTATTTCTGGTAGCCGTGTCTCTTTTGGCATTAAGTATCTCTTTTGAGCATGTTCAGAGTGATGAAGAACTTGATAATTTCATGAAGGAAGGTGATGCTCACCATATAAGCAAAAAAGGCAGATTGCGGGCACCCTGTGGCTTTACTTTAAGATGTCGACGACGACGGATGAAAAACAACTATTTCGTAAGTAACAAACTGAGCAAAGGAATTACAGCCATTCTCAATCACACGCGCCCTCTAGCGATTGTTTCTGTCGCGAGGAAGAAGGTTTTGGTTGACTTCAATCACAAGACGYTTCCATGACATTGTCGGAAAACACAAAGCTATAAGGGCACGTCCCTATAGAATGTCATGGAAACGCCTTGATTGACGTCAACAAGTGAAGGTTGTAAAGCCCCAAATTAACAAATCCAAATTTATAACTAAAAAAATACTTCGAAGTTTGAGCTGGTATAAGGTTTATAAAGAGCACCTTTGGGGGATATCTGGAATAATTTTATGATGCCTGGTTTCTTTTGTGATTAAGAGAATAATATACTATGCCTGCATCATAAGATAGACAACGGTTTGTTTTTGTTGTTTATCATTTTATTTCTTTGTGTATTGATTCGTTTTGTGTATAAGTTTGTGTTGTTTATTTATATTTAGTTATGTATTTCATGTTTTTAGTCTTTTTTTCTTTTTTAATTAATGTTATTTAGTTTTGTTTTTTGTTAGTTTTTTCTCTCTTTTTTTTCCCCTTTTTTTGTTGCTGTAAAATGTTTTAGTTGAAAACATGAAACATATATTTATATTATTTTTTGATTTTTTATATTCTATTGTACCATTTACACATATTTATCTTTGCGTAATATGTATAAATATAGAATATTGAATACAATTTATAAAGTATTAATAAATAGTAAACTTAATAATAGATCTTGTTAACAATAATGGTTCGAATTGTGAAGATAAGAGAGATTTATCCAAAAAGGATTTCACTTATTAAAATGGCGACTACAAGACTGATAAATTATTTCAACCAGCAAAAAAAATWTACTGAGGATTRCTTGATTAAACTATTGATTAGATTYAAGTCATCTCGACCTGACACCGTTTATTACGCGTATTAAGACTTCACTTGTTCGTCAATCAAATTTTATMGCAGAAATTCAATTAAACGACTCATGCAGAGCTAAATACAGCGTATTACCCCATCTAATAAGATCCAAACAAGATATGATATCTGAACTTATCATGTGCCAGGTGAATGTGCTATATTTAAGCCAGTACATCGCTGATCGACGCACATTAGTAGCAAGATGCTAGCTCGCAATGAGCAGAATAATAGGTTTATTTTACAGCTAAAAACAATCTTCCGATTGATGCCAGTGATAAGCTGAAAGACGTGAGGATGTCATGAAAGTGAGGATGTCATGAAAGTGAGGATGTCATGAAAGTGAGGATGCCTTCCAATCAAGTAAACTTGAATCCCGCCTATACACAGGGTTCAGTTCGGGAACGGCTGCAGTGAAGCTAACATAAAAATGTCACAACTCCTCTCAAAAAGAATTTCCCAACCTTTCAGTTTTATACGGTGCTGTACGTACGTTTCATGAACGTTGAGAAGTTTTCAATTTGTTTCATTTTTTTGTTTTCAAGTAATTTGGAAAACATTGGTCATGTCGTTTTTGCTGTCATTAAAATAATTGAGGGATAATTGTAGAAGGGACAGTAAGTGGATGATAAGATCTAATCCATTGAATATAAACTGATTAAGAAAATAAAAGATTCAATTAAAGGTTTTTGTTTAGTAATCCCTAATGGGCGGTTGAGAAGTTATGACAATAAGAAGAAGAATCAGGAAACTTTGTAGCAGTATTAAGGCGAACTTAAATAAAGCCTTTTATATTTTACAATAGACTATAAAATCATTTGGGATATATATACAACCATGGTAAGTTAGAAGAAACAAAGTGTTTTATAGTGTTTTATATTGTCTCATAGTGTTTTATGGGGTTTACAGTGTGTGTGTGTTTTTTGTCTAAAGAGGTAACAGAAAGAATTTTAGTGCTTCTAAACAACAACTGAATATTCAATGACATCAAAATACAAAGAAACCTTAAACTTCCTTCTAAGCTGTTTGGGGCATAAAAACCTACTGATCAGCATATTTGTATACATATTAAAGAGAAGACTACACAGTAGTGTTTTYTCTCTCTTATGTTTGATGTTGTTTTGTTTCAGAGACGTGGTACGGTAATCACTGAAGATGCAGTAAGCGATAACGATTTYCCCCCACAAGAAAGTAATGCATTGAAATAAAAATACATTCAAAGGTGACGAAGCAGGAAAGTTGAATTAAAACAAACCAGTTCAAATAAACGTATTTTTCAACTAATGCCATCGTGTCGTACTTAACATTCAGTTTTCCAGTTTGTAAAAAATGGGTTCCAGCCTGATGCCAGTTCAGTTTAGTCCCGGGGTTGGATCATTCAGTCCTCAGGGGTTTTCAGTATGCAATATATGTATCTATACTAAAAATAATTGAAGAAAAGGAGCTATTCGAATAACTAGAAATGGGGCAAATAGTCTTAAGAACAAATTAATATGCCTGATTATAGAATATTAATCAGGCTGGATTGGGAGAGATGTTATTCCCAAATAAGYGTTTATTTGCCGAAGTATTAATAAAAGAGGAACAAAACATGTACAGAAAAAGAAAATTGTAATGAGGGTCTGCCTGTTATTGGAACTGTATGTATGTATAACAACACGTATACTGCCGTGTACGTCCGCATAGAACCTGTCRCGGTTTCCGACGCCATATTGCTTGGGGGGCAAATTTACTAAGAAGCGTAAGACTCGATCATACTCGTTCAATTTGACCGTTAAAAAATCTTGACTCGACAAGAATGACTCGATCGGCTCGAAAGCGTCACAAAACATTGAACAGAAGATTCTCCATCTACAGACAAAGTTTGGTCTTGAAAATTTACCTCAGAATGGAAATATAACGAAAAACGTATCTCTTTCCCCTACGCTTCCTAGTTAATTTGCCCCCAAGCAATATGGCGTCGGAAACCGTGAAAGGGTCTATAGCAGGATAAAAAGTTTACACGAAGAGGATTTAGATGAATGTTGCTTTATTTCTTATCAAACCATGACGGAAAAGACAAGATAACGTTACGTATCTGAATCCTGCCTTGTTTCTCGCATTCAAAATCCAGCTAACAGTATCTAGATCGTAAATACTAGCTATATTCCTCAATCTTCCATTAGAGCCCGAATAACGGCTTCCAATTTATTCGAGTTTTTTTTTTTTTTGTTCGGTCGAGTTTTGTTAATTATAGTACATTTGTCTTGTCCATATCTTGATTTCTAGCAGGTTTTTTCGTGTTCTCTATTGTCTTGTGTTTCTCCAGTAATCATCGTCTTCCCATTCGTAAGACCAACTCTCCTTTGGTATAACATTCTGGCGAATTAAAAAAAAAAAAGAATTAAAAGAACAAATTGTTTTGGGAAGCACAGGTGGCGTAGCGGTGTGAGCGCAACTCTCATCAATGCGACCCGAGTTCAAGTCCCGCCAGGCTCGGTGTGCATGAGTAGAGTTGTTTGTTGTTTGTTGGTTCTCTCATGTGCTTTGACTCGCGTCTTCCGTGTTCTCCGGTTTACCTCCCTTCRCAAAAATCAACTCCTAAATTCCAATTCGATCATGGAATGATGGCCACAGGTTTGTTAGCCACTGGCTATTAAGTGCTACTCTCGTGAAAAAAAAGGACGTTTTTTTTGTTTTTGTTTTTTTGTTGTTTTTTTGTTGTTTTTTTTTGTTTTGTTTTTTTTGTTTTGTTTTGTTTTGTTTKTTTTTGTTTTTGTTTTTTGCTAGTATCAATTTGATACAAAAAGTTTTGGAAAAAAAGTTATGTATACATAGTACAGTACGAGTCGGTATCAAAATTTTTTAACGTATCTTTGGCACAGATATTCTGTYGTTCGATTTTTACCGATGGCGTCCGAATCGAGTTGAGCAGGAAAATGATTGCTTCYGATCCTGCGGTACCCTTCTTAATTTCAGCCCACATGCTATTCATCACGTGCAATAACCAAGCTGTTGATGAATGACAGAATGACGTACTGTATGTTGTGATATAAGTGTGATGTGTTGTAATATACCTAACACTATTCGCTCTGATCCTATAACAAAATACCGGCAATCGAATGCTCCGAATCACAGTGTCTAAATAACCGTTAAACATTATATATCATTTATTTGCCTTGATTAATGATGATACATGATATCAGATCGGGTAAAATGTAAATATGCCGGAATTATACAGGAATTGTTATACCGAGCCATTTTATATTGCCAGCTGTATGAAATTCCCGTATTTGGAACATGCATTACTAGTGTAATACGTATACGATAAAATTCAGGGGCTCAAGGCATTGTTTGTCATTTTGGTTTCGATTAATAAAAATATAAAGTTTATAGGACACCGATTTTTAAATAGAAAAAACTGGTATTGATCTTTTCTTTTCTTTTCTTTTCTTTTCTTTTCTTTTCTTTAAATTAATAATTCGCTACCATCACAGTTTCATTCTTTATGGGGATCAGTATTGTATTATTTATACTACATCGGGCGTCCTTATCATAGATGGTCTAAGAAGCACAAATCACCAGAAAATTACAAGTAAAACTACGGATCGACCAACCAACCTTTTTCTTTCCTGATCCTCGTCTTCTTCTTCGTACACAGCTAAGTGAAAACCCACAAGGAGGACGAAGAGCTTTAGCAGCAGGATCGCTTAAACTATTACTGATTTCCTCTGACTCTTGGTATTCGGATCTGACTTCAAAGACGTCTAAAAATAAAACGACAACAAGAAAGAGTAAAAAATGTCTTCGACTGTTCATATTGTGAAACTTCTTTCAGATACTTGTATCAGATCTGCTTGTATCGATGTTTGAAAGCAAATCTAGTCTGGTGCTAGTCTTGTTTCGATTTATAAAGTTCATGCTCGTTAGTATCGTATTGTTTGTAAATTCAATTCAAACTCATTTGATGTGTAATTAATCAAGGCTCAAATTYACCTCTAAATGATCATAATATATATAATATGGACTAAATATTATATCGTGTACTTAACCCACCCCTATAGTACTAAGTACTCGTGGTCATTCGCTGTCTTTCCGTTCATTATCGTTAACAAACCAAATAATTTGTTTTACAGTGAGGACACTCAAACCGTGAACACTTTTGGTTAATATTTTTGTTGTTGTCACTTTTTGAAAATGCATACTGTAAATCATCCCATGAGCCAATCGATTGGACTGGAATAAGGCTTTATTGATCACTCTGTGTATTTGATCTCAATGTTTGATTTTAAGGATGGTGCCTACTATTGTCAGCGCAAACACTGCGTATCTACATCGAGGGATTCCCGCGGGTTTCAAAAGCAAAACACTCTCAAAAAAGGTACACTAGAAAACGTAGACAAATTTAAAACGAAGAACAACAGCAATAGCTATTTTTATGTAGTCAAAGATGGATCAAGAAGTAAGCTTCAAGAATATCAGGTGTTTTTGGCGGAAAATCATGTTTTTACTTTCTAGAAAAAGCAGCTTCGATCGCCTCGGATCGGTGAATAATGAGAAAACGTTTTCAATATTTCCATACAGATAACCTTAGTTTGTTTTCAAGTCAAATGAAGATTGAAAAGGAATCACACATTACAATAAATATCAGCCATTCATTTACCTTTTCCTGCGAGTATAATTACATGAAATTAACTTTTGTCGTTTGAAAGACCTCGTATATATAAACTGTATTGCACTCGCTAAAAAATAAGTTTAAAAGCGTTCACACAAAGGCATACTGACAAAGAAAATTATTTTTTTGATTTAAGTTAAACTGAATGTAAGTTTATATTTTACGAAAGTTTTTSCCTTGTTCTTGCTTKCCAGTATGCACGACTGCCGTGAAACATTCATGAAAAGCCGTCCTTAATTTCCGACTTCAAAAAAAACTTAAATTACATGCCATTTGTTTAAGGAAATCCTTTCTTCTACACAGGAAATAATTATTAATCATTGTTCTTCGAATTGAATAAGTTTTCTGGTATTTTGAAGGCTTGAAATATTGCTTTTTCTTCAGTTTTCCTCCTGCTTGTAAAACCAGGGGAGAGATGGTGCAAACACGCTAAAAACAGAGCTGGTCACGCTGTTTCGTAACGCCGMGTCAAGCTTGTCACGCTTTTACCACCGATTTATCCTCAAACAAAATAGTTTAAAAAACCATAACTGTTTAAAACGCGTGGGTTCGCCCTCGACCTTCTTTTCATTCAAATATAAAAGAAATTTCTAAAATAAAAATGGTTTTGAATGCAACCGGTACTRTGTAGTCCCTTCAGAACCATATTTTACACTTTTGATGCAAAATTTGGTTTAAAAAATGGATTTATATTATACAAAAAAGTTTATATATTTGATATACAGAACACAGCTAGTTGTTTATTTATTTTCTTTCTCTCTTTCTTTCTTTCTTTCTT